ACGGCGTTATGCAGAAAGCAACCACCCCACACATGTTCTATTTTGAGATAATTCAAGTTTTAGAAAACTATTATTTTTTAATTGGTTAGCACCTCATATGACCTAAAACCAATATATCTTATAAATTTTATGAATGTATTTCAATGACTTACCAATAAAATCTTGCTACAAATTAATACTCACCATTATTTTAAGACTTATGTTGGTTGGTTGTTTTATGATTAATGTAAAAATGTGGCATGGTTGCTTTATATAGGTTGGTTGTCTTATGATTATTCAATTATTGTTAAAATGTGGTGAGGTTGCTTTTAAAATAAAATATTCAATAATATTATTATACTTAAATAAGAAAAAAACATATTATGTGAGTAAAACGTTTGAAGTTTATTACAACAAAAAACATTAAATATTAATTATCTCAGTCTTTTGAGTCATTATAAAATTAACAAAAACAATAAAAAAAATACTCATCATAGTTATGTAACAACTTGATTAGTAGTTAACATAATAAATAAGTCTATTCTTGAGTTATAATAGTAAAAAATTCCTAAAAAAGATAGTAAAATATTGATAACAGTAAAAACAACTTGATAAGTAACATCAAAATAATTAAAAATAAACCACTTTTTGAATCTTAAAAAAAAAATTATAAAATACTCTTACTAGTAAAGTTGTTACTTTATTAGTTAGTTAACATTATAATTAAAAATATATCTGCTTTTGAGTTATAACATTTATGTATACAATTTCTAAATAGGATGGTAAAATATAATATTTATAAACTTTAAATCAACATTAAGTATTTATCTCAGTCTTTTGAGTTAATGTATGTAATGGTAATGTAACAACTTACTTGACTAGTAGTTAACATAATAATTAAAAATAAACCATTTCTGAGTCATAAACCAGAATAATATAAAAGTAATATTATAAAAGAAAACAAATAATAATATTAGGTATAATAAAATTCCTAAAATAAATGAAAAAACTTCTTAATTTAATTAGTTTCGATTTCAAAATCCAACAATTCATTAAATCCACCCACATCTTCATCAATGACACTATTTCCAATTAAATTAGAATAAAATGCATGTGCATCTGTTGGAATTAGATGCATCATCGATTTTATATCTTCGAGTTTTAATTTGTTAATTTCTTTTCCATCAGGCCATAACTGAGTTAACAATATTTCAGCTGGAAAGGGGGTTGTTGATTGTCTTCCCCGACAACGCTTTTCTATATTTACTTCTACAAAGTTGTCAACTGATAAGTTACTATTCATAAAAATAGAAAATGGCTTACTACGATATAATTTTATTTGTCTAGTAGCAAGCCAATTGATTTTATCACCACTCTCTGATACTTTTCTATTAGTTATTTTTTTTTCTAAATTTTCATCGTTATTGGATAAAGCTGTAGTTGAATACGGGTGAAAAGAGTGGTACTGCATTTGAGTTGTTTTACATTCATCTTCATATCCGCCAACCACGTCCAAATACATATCATCCATGATTATAAAACTTTTAATGACTGTAGAAATGATAGATTGTTCTTTGTTAGTTTCTTTATAATCGGCGTACGTCTCGACGTATTAAACCAGTATTCATACATTACTGATCATTAAAGTATCTTGCTAATAGCTAATAAACAAAATATAAAAAATAATTAAGTAGTCAAAAACATTAAAATGAATATAAATATAAAACTGTTAAATTCCTTTTTGATTAACGAAAAGTGGGAAACGATTTTAAATGAATCTGACGTTGATATTTGTGCATTCAAGTTTCATAATTTACTAAATAATTATATAGTTAATTCAAGCACACAAAAAGAAAAAAATATACCTCGTCAAACAAACGTAAAATTAAGCCCTGGATAACACTATAACAGATGGTCTAATAAAATCGATTAGGAAAAGGGATAAACTTGGTAAAAGTATAAAAAATAGACCAAATGATATTCATTTCTTAAAACATTATAAAAGATATAAGAACAAATTGTGTACATTAATAAGGAACGCAAAAAATGATGACTATAGAAACAGAGTAGGTAATGAATATTAATACTGGTGATAATAATAATAACAATAGTGCTACTAAACAGGTATGGAACATAATAAGGGAGGTTATCAACAAAAATGTCTAAAATAGCAAAGCCATTTCACAAATTATTCATGAAAATCAACTGATCAATGTCAATACGGACACAAATAAATGTGTTAATATATCAAATAACTATTTTGCCTCTGTGGGTGAAAAAATTTCAGGACTAATTCAAAGTGATAACGAAATACCTTATATAATTAATTCTACAATAAATAATACTGAGAGTAGAGATAGCTTTAATAAACATAATTTACGTTATTTAAATTTTACGGAGAAAGATATGATTATATTGATTATTAAAACATTTAAAAAAGGGACATCACCTGGTTTTGATAGTATTTCTTCAAATACATTATTACAGATAGCAGACCACATTATTAGTCCGATTACCTACTTATTTAATTAATTTAAGTTTCTCAAAAGGAGTATTTCCACAAATATATAAAAAATCGGAAATTATTCCAATTTACAAAACTGGTGATGCGAGAGAACTACATAATTATAGGCCAATTCTACTTATTAATTCACCTAAACGATTCTTAAAATTTATAAAATTATCAATAATAATCTCACTGAAATTATTTACAATATATTTACTATTTACAAAAGCTACAATGCCACTATTTTGATTAAAATTATTATCACTTGTTCTATATGAAATGAATCCATCAATTTCAAATTTAATAACACAGTTACTTAACCAGCATTCAGTAAGTATAATACAATCAATGAAATGTATAATATTGTTTAACATGACTAATAGCTGGGAAAAGTTTTTATTGATCGATTTAATATTTAAATTAAATATAATAAATCCATCTTTATTTACAAAAAATGATTTTAAGTCACGAAAACCCAAAGTCTTACTCACAAGTTTAATACGTCGAGACGTACGCCGATTATAAAGAAACTAACAAAGAACAATCTATCATTTCTACAGTCATTAAAAGTTTTATAATCATGGATGATATGTATTTGGACGTGGTTGGCGGATATGAAGATGAATGTAAAAAAACTCAAATGCAGTACCACTCTTTTCACCCGTATTCAACTACAGCTTTATCCAATAACGATGAAATTAGAATATCTATTCAAAATATGGACGCGTACACTCTCCCCTGCGAGAGCTATCTCTATATTGAAGGTAAATTAAATATACCGGCAGATGTTGCAGCATATGCAAGCGAGATAAATTTTACAAATAATGGTTTGGCGTTTTTGTTTTCCGAAATCCGGTATGAAATTAAAGGTGTGGAAATACAAAAATTAAAATCTCCTGGAATATCATCGAGTCTTAAAGGGTTTTGCTCCCACACCACGAATGAATTGTACAATCTATAGAATGCTGCTTGGGACGTTTATATGGATGCCAGTGAAAATAAACATTTCATGTTAAATAACAAATTCGCTGGTTGTATCCCACTCAAACACTTGTTTGAATTTTGTTAAGACTATAAAAAAATACTACTCAACTGCAACCAGCAAATCATTTTAAACAGATCGTCTACGGACGTTTCGGGGACCACAAAAAATGAAAGCAAAGAAAAACTTAAAAAAGTAGTGATTGAACTGTGTAAAATTATTTATAAGATGCCCGTTATCAGGGGGAGTGACAAAGAAAAAATACAACTATTGAAAGTGTTAGACTCTCGTAAACCACTTTCATGTGCGTTCAGAAATTTTGACTTGTGCGAATATCCGGTTCTTCCTCGGAACATTTCTCATTCGTGGACGGTTAAATTGAGCAGTTTGCTCGAGAAACCCAGATTTGCATTAATTGGATTTCAAACAGATCGAAAAAATAATTTATTAAATCCGTCAGTACGATTCGATCACTGTTACCTGAAGAACCTTAAAATACACCTAAACTCTGAAGTGTTTCCATATGAAGATTTCCGTTCAGATTTCATAAACAACGTTACGACTATTTTATACAAAGCATATGCAGATTTCCAAAAATCAAACTATGATAGAGAATACAGTGAGCCTCTACTGTCAAAAACCATTTTCCAGCAATTTGTACCAATCATAGTCGTGGATTTATCACGACAGAACGACAATGTAAAATCATCGACTGTTGATTTACGCATCTAGTTCAAAACAGACAGAGCCATTCCAGCGAAAACTGCAGCGTATTGTCTCATCTTACATTATCAAATTATAACTTATAACCCTTTTAATGGTGATGAAAGGAAATTGTAAATAGTTTGTAAAATAAAAATATTTTTTTTTTAAAAATATCATGTGTTTTTTATTATTATTTTTAACCATTATATGAAAATTATATAATAAATATTTTTTATCCAATTACAATACAAATATTGGAGAATCTTAATCTACGGCTAGATTTTTTAAAATATTATAATATATTATTGGCAGGAAAAAATTAGTAACTTAATCTACGTCTTGCTTTTGTCCTTTCGTGTAATGCGAATGCCCTCGTTCTCGGTCGCTTGACTTCAGGCTAACAAAATTAGTTTTATTTAGTATAAAATAATATTTAAAAATATATTAGTATTACCTCAGTTTCGGACGATGAGGATAGCCAACCCCTTGCCAATAGCTTACATGCTTTACTTTTCAAATCTGCTATTAAGCTTATGCCAGCGACCGGAATACGCTCTTTCAATTTCTTGACCTCGATGCGGTTCAAATAATCTTCAACATCTCTAAAGTTTGTATCCTTGGCTAATGGCATTTCGTTTCCGAGAAATAATGAAATTCTGCAAGCCTAAAGCAATGCGGCTGGCCGGCCGTACATATTTTTCATCTCAACAACTTCTTCCATGGTATCACTTAATTCCAAGATCTTTTGCGACTTTCTCCCAAGTCAGTTGCATCTTCTGATCTTGCTGTAGACATTTTATTGACAGAATTTTGTTACCGTTGCATTCATCTATTGACATCAATTTAAACTCCTTCAACAGTAAATGGGAAGGTTGTGAAAAGTGTATGTAAAAGGTTATGTTGTAAAGTAATGCATTTAGCTATTCATATAAGTCCACACTCATTTTCAAGCATTAAGAGTTACTTGTAATACACACAACACAATTTAACAAAAAATCCGGGTCTAGACTTATATTTATAAAAATACTGTCATCCACGAAAAAAGTCGAGCAGTCGATAAATTGACCAACCATTATGATGGATTATACGCACAAATTGTTACGACTTGAAGAGCTGGTTGCGACTGACTTGTCCTATGCTCGTGTCACATGTTTTAAGCAGTGCCACAGAGCGGTCGTTAAGAGAGGGAGTGAATCCGCAATCTATAGTAATATATATTGTTGGGGGTATGTATAACGTAAGGAAATAAGTTATTTAAATATTATTTTATTTTTATTTTAGGATCAGAAGACATGGAAGACACAGACAATTTATAGTACAATTATAAAATAATAATAAATAATTAATAATACAATTATATAATTTTAAATTCAAATAATAACATTCTGATATATAATATAAATTCTAATAAAATAAATATTTAATTTTACCACATATTTGTTATACCTAATTTTTTGGGGGACCATATCTTAGTACATATACGGTTATTTTTAGGTGCATATTTTAGGGCATATTTGGCCATTTTTTGGTGCATATTAGCATGCATATTCGGGTATTTTTTAGAGCTACAAGTCCCTAAGCCTAGAAATAACACATGCTATGATATACAGAATATTTATTATCATCATTCATCATTAACAAGATATTATAATAAAATAATTTTGTAATACACCGAGTAGATGATTTTGCTGACTTGGCATCCTTGTAGTCGAATAGAAATTGTGGGGATGAAGGCCGTCTGTTAAAATACATTGGACCGTCGTTCTCATGAACAGCCTATACAAATTAATAGTAAAAATATATCGTGCAAATTATATATTTATGTATTGTCGTATACCCACTTTTCAGTGGTATACCTCTACCGACGTTTGAGGAACCAAAAGACCATAAATTAACCGGTTACAGTTTGGCACTCAAAAAGTCGATATCGTTACTTTAATGCTTAGACTTTCAATCCTCAACGACCATAAATTAACCGGTTACAGATCAGATTGAAAGAATACAATAATGTAAGATTACCTTTACCGTTTAAACCTTAAATCCTCAACGACCATGAATTAACCGGTTACAGATTAGATTTTAAGGAGTACGGCAAATTGCGTGGCTACTCAAACAAAACAAATGATTTCTTGGGTCGGAAACACCTTTATTCTTTTAAAAAAAACAATTAAAAACATAAATGAATAGTCCGTACAGTAACCGTCCGTGTCAACGTCGATCGCACGCTCTCGACAGCGACAACACACCGGCGGCGACGGGGACTGCCCCTTCCCTGCCCGTGCGGCCGTCTTATATCTATTTGATTTTTGTCACCTCAGCACATTTTGCTTCACAGGCCTGACCTATCCCAAAATCTTACTTGCTAAAAATATTCCCACCTATGTAAAATAATTATTTCGACAACTGTCTACAGTATACGACAGTATATTAAGTTTGGTTTAATTTTCCGAAATTTTGTCTCAGCGATGCTTATCGAATTCGTTATTTCTTCGAACCTTCTCTCTTCGTCAGCTGCCTAAAAATTAAATAACATTTAATACTTAAATATTTTATTATTTAAATTTCAAATTACCAGAGACTGCGAAGGATCGTCTTCGTTATGAGTTATCATTGGAGACATACTCAAGTATCTTGGAGGAGACGGCTGTAGCATTTCCATGTCAAAGGATTCAGTATAATGCTAAAATAAAAATAATAAGTAATCGTTATAAAAAAAATGTGTATAATATTACCTCTTGCATTCTCTGTGTGGGTGGGAGAAATCTCAGCAAGTTCATCATCATTTTCATCCATTGTCTAATTGAATGCATATGTTAAATACTTTTTTTTGAATAGTTTCAAAATATATATTCTTACTTTTATCGAATTCTTTGTTATCCAATTGATTGCTAGCTGTTCAGTTACGAATAATTTTATCTGATTTAAAAAAACTATGTTTGCTCTTCGGCATATGCTTTGCAATTAAGTCGATATGAAATCCTTTAATTATTGTTTTTACTTCTTTCCAATGGATAGGTTAACATTTTATATATATCCATATAGCTAATACTAAAAAAAAAATAAAGTGAATATATGATTATTACACTATCCTACATTACCAATAATTTTATCGTGTTTTTGTCACATGGAGTAATGACTTGAATTGTAATAATTAATTAGTGAGGGTAAATTATATTTACTTAGTTTCTTCATCTGTTATATTGCTATCGTTTTGTTTTTCATTCTTATTCACCTGGTATGTTACTTTGAGTTTATCATCAGTTTTTTTATTGACATTTATTATGTATTTAATTATTTTATAGAATATTACCAATATTATTATTACTGTTAAAACAGTAATTCCAATAGAGTGAATATATTTTGTTGTTTTTTCTTTAACTTTGTATTTTAAAAGATCTTCCATTTCTTGATTAACGATTGATAGTGATTTAGCATGAACGTTTAAGTCAATGAATTTTTTGGGTATTTTAATAATATCTACATTATCATATGGCACATTTTGTTTCATGATTATATCATTGAAATTTTCCGTAAAGTTGGGTAGGTGGAAGGAAGGTAAGTAGTCTTTTGAAAAATTACTTTGGTTTTTATATTTTGAAATGATGAGGGTGTTTTTTGTGAATGCTTTGCAATTTGTTTTCAAGGTTAATAGGCCTGTTTGGTTAATAATTGTGTTTTCCACTTCTTCTCCACAACTAATTATTGTTTTTATCGGTTCTGGAATGGCATATAGCCATTGGTTATTATTTTTTAAGTTGTACCAAATGTCATGGACCATGGTAATTGTCTTAACCTCACAGTTGGGTGGTATAGTGTTACTCTTTTGGAACATTTGGAATTCACAATTTGGCTTAATTGCACTAGATAACGGTGTATTTAAACTACAAATTGTATTCGTTTTAATAGATTTACACTTGTCAACCTGATCTCGAGAAAAAAATGTATAATACTGTTATTATTTTCAACGACTAGATATTCTGCAGAGGATTGTATAAAAATAAAGTTATTCTTATTGATGTGTACTGGTAAGCTTACTACAAGTTAAAATTTAGGTTTTCCATTAGAGGTATGTTTATTGAATAAATAATTAAGTGGTTCTGGTAACATATATTTAATTCTATTATTTTCATAAAATCAAAGTAATTTTTTATGTTTATTTCCATTGGCATATTTAAGTTTGAAGGTAAATTTGCTTTTACGTCTTTAAATTGTTCTAATAACTCATTTGGTTTTAATATCTGAGAATTTATCTGTCCTCTATGGGCTGTTATTACTGTGTTTAATATAATTGAAGTTTCTTTTGAAAATGATTGATAAGCTCACTATATACTGAGTTGTATAATATTATATATTCTTTTATATTTATTATTTTTAATTCTTCTTTTTGATTAGTCATTTCAAAATTTATTTTATTTATATAGCCATTCAAATTATCCTTAATTTTAGTAAAGTCTAACGAAATTTGTTTTGCTGTATCAAGGGTACTTTCAAAAAATTTAATTTGATCTTTCTGAATTAAAAGTGCTTTTAATTGTTTTTCCTCGAACAGTCTAATTTTATTTTGATATTCTTCCCCTTCTTCCTCGGTTAAAACTCCAAATAAGGCTCGCTGTAATTTTCCAATCCCTCCAAAAAATGAGCTTCGTTTTGTTCTATAACCATTCGGATTTACATTATATTTTTTATCAATATTTAGATATTGTTGAAGTGTGTCTCTTTCATCATTCATTTTCTCCAGTAGTGCTGTGTTAATTTTTTGATTAGATTAAGCTCACTCCCAGAGTCTCAGAGTAGCTTCGATTTTTTGCAGATGGTCTGTTCAATGTGGCAGGTTAGATGATCTTGATCTAATTCTGCTTTGAAGTAGAGGATCTGTCGTTGCCGGTGTTTTTTAACTCGCTCACCGGGCGCCCACCGCTGGCGGCCGGTTGCTGTGGGTTTTCCTGCTAGTTACCCTCCTTTTTGGAATTTGCATAATTCCTTTTACGGCAATCTTTCAGCATATGCCCTGGTTTCTTACAGGTCGT